GAGAAGAATTTCCGGGCGTATGTCTCACTGTTTATGAGACATCTCTGTGAACCGGGTGCTGACAACTCGGAAACATTTGCTGATGGAGTTCCACGCGAAGGACTTTCCCGACAGCATGTGTTGACTCGAATAGGAGTCATGTCTTTGATACGAAAGAAAGTACAAGAATTTGATCACATAAACGGTTCGGTGAGTGTCATAATACCCGAACAGGAAAACGTACAAAACGGGACCAATGGCTCCACTGCTGTCTCAACCGTCTCCTCCTCATTGACGACACCAAATGACAGTAAAGCGCCGTCGCCTACGCCCACACTCACTGATAATAAGGACACCACTGATGAACAAAAACCCACTGAAGAAAAAGTGGTCGAAGAAGTAGAGAAGAGTTCGGAATCGGATTCAAAGGTAGAAGAAACTGAAAAAACAGACGATAAGAATGAAGAAGAGATTAAAAAAGAAGTAGAAGAAGAGACGTCTCCAAAAGCTGCCGAACCCACTGAAAGCACTGAAGAGCCTAAGACTGAAACAAAAGAAGAACCGAAGGTTGAAGAGAAGACTGAGGAGAAACAGGAAACTAATGGCGAATCTGTTGAAGAAAACGGAGAAGAGAACAAAGAAAAGGAAAATAAAGCAGTGAATGGCAGTAAAGAATCGACGGAAGCTACGGAAGCGAGTGATGGAAACCCGAAAGAAGTAAAAGAAGTGAAGAAAGTTTTGGCGAAACAAAAGTTTATGTTTAATATAGCGGACGGAGGTTTCACTGAACTGCACACTCTTTGGCAAAACGAAGAGAAGGCTGCCGTTCCCGTGCGTCAACTCGAGATATGGCACAGACGTCACGACTATTGGTTGTTGTCAGGCATTGTGAGACACGGCTACGGGCGCTGGCAGGACATCCAGAACGACGTGGCCTTCTCTATCATCAACGAGCCATTCAAGATGGATGTCGGCAAAGGAAACTTCTTGGAGATTAAGAACAAATTTCTTGCGCGAAGATTCAAACTATTAGAACAGGCGTTAGTTATAGAGGAACAGCTGCGAAGAGCCGCATACCTGAACCTGACTCAAGACCCGACTCACCCGGCGATGGCATTGAACGCAAGGTTTGCTGAGTTGGAGTGTTTGGCCGAATCGCACCAACACTTGAGTAAAGAATCGTTGGCTGGAAATAAACCGGCGAACGCTGTGCTCCATAAGGTTCTCAACCAATTGGAAGAACTTCTGAGTGATATGAAGTCAGATGTGAGTCGACTTCCGGCAACCATCGCCCGAATACCTCCCGTCGCCCAAAGGCTTCAAATCTCTGAGAGAGGTTTGTTTCACAGTATTATTCTTGACTTTTCTTATATTCTGTTATACACTAGTGTTCTGTCGTACAGTAGCTAACAATTGTGTTCAAATCTATTCATAGGTATACTTTCCCGTCTGACTGGTCAGCCACAGCCACAGCTCAATATGAGTGAACTCATGAGCGGACAGACACTACCGCCAGCCTTTGCTAATCAGGCGCCGCCCACTAAATGATGGCAATCATTTCTAAGCGAATAATTTTTAACAATTCATACATAACTTAACAAATTCTTGTCTCTTGTCTTACATTATACTGTCTTTTAAACGATTTATAGAATGACTTAAATTTTTGCAAATATATTTAGTACATGATATCGTTTTCAGTATTTCGTGACTTATGATATATTTATCAGTTTACGATATACCGTATTAATACTTTATATATATAAATATAAACGATTGGTTTTAAATTTATTTTTTAAGAATTTATCACTAATTATTTCATCACATAGTTTCATAACTTTGTATTATTTATTCACTTATTATTATTTAATAAATAGTTTTTTAATTTTAATTGATTTTATTCGTGTCATTCTTTGGTGTTTGTGTCGATTCTTACGATTGTGACTAATAAATCATTTTAAGACAGTGAATACATTGTCAGATAATCTATTAAGTTTCGCAATAATTGACTAAAAATCAATTATTTCTAGACAAATGATAATAAAATTGACGCAAACTTTGATTTATGAAAGATAACAAAAATACATTTATTCTTGAATTTGTTTATACAAATATAAAAGGTTTGTCTACAATGTATATCATAATATGTATTACGGTAATAGAGAATTGCATGCAATGAGTGTTTCAGTAATACAGTGCAACTGAACTACAGGTCGAACACCGGAACAGTTGTCTACTTCTGGTTGTCAGGGATTCTGTTATTCTGTAATACTTGACAATCATTTATATACAAAACTGTATAAATCGATAAAAACATACGAATTCAGTCATAAAATTTATTTTCAATTTATGTCTAATCTATTATTGAATTATAATTTTTTTCGATTTTATTTAGTTTAACTTTTAAAATATAATTCTTAACTAATAAAGAATATGAACTTAGTAAACAATAAAAGCAGTTTATATTTTTATTCGCAACAATTTGGTTAATAGAAAGAGTTTTATTTAATGGACTCATTTGTGTAATTCATTATTATTCACGAGTGCTTATAATTAACTTATCTGCAGATGATTTGACCCAATTTGCGATTATTAACTCACTCTATGCTCACTCTCTCAGAGTTAACTCATCTTTCATACAGTTTTTCACTGAAAACATACACTCTTTTTCTGTTTTTTCATTTGAAATGATAGTTCGCAAAGAATTTCATTCTTCTTTTCATATGAAGTATAAGTGAAAGCAATCATCACTAATGAGCGGCAATTTGAATGCAATTAATCTGAACGGTGTGTCGCGAGCTTTGCAAGAAGCCAGCGATCGAAAGGCTCGCAAATTGTCTTTCTATAAAAATGGTGAGCCTTTCAGCAACTGTATCACTGTCTCCATACTCCCCGGAAGGGACTTCAGGACTATGGAACAGTTATGCATTTATTTGACCGATAAAATCAAAATAGCGAATGGAGTCCAGTATATATTCACAACCACTGGTGAGCGGGTGTTGACTTTGAATGAGTTAGAACACGGCCAGAGCTATGTTGTGTCCGGCGTCAAGACTTTCCACTCTCTACACAACCTTCCCTACGGACACCCCAATAAACTCAAACACATTACACTTAACTCTCACAACGGCAACGATAGGTCTAAAGCCGTCAGAGAAGATGACTTGAAGTTATTGCGTCCGCTTTCATCCAAATTTAATACCGTTTATCATAACATTAATAATCAACCGATTAATACATCGTACAGAGAGGGAAGGATTATCACTATTGTTAATAATAAAGACCACAAACTGAGATCAAGAGTCTTACTTAACCTCAAAAGTCCTAAATCTTTCGATATTATTGTCAAAGATTTAGGACAAGCGGTTAGAATAAAGAATGCAAAGCGAATGTTCACAGCTTCTGGACATGAGGTTTGTTAACATTTATTTGCATTTATCTGTAACCATTCAATTGTCATATATTATTGCTATTATTAAATTTATTATTACTGTATATTAATTTCATTTTATACTGTATGACAGTAATAACAATATGAATTGTTTAATGATTTATTTTTTTACCATTTCATTACATTTGTGATTTAATTTTTAAAATACGGATTTAAACGATAGATAAAATTAAATATCCTTTATTCATTTTGTTATAATTTTGTATGATTGACTTAATTAGATTATAAATC